TCTACATGCAACGTGCATTGGACGACCTCGAGCGCTGGTACCTCGATTGGAAGATCCGAGTAAACCCGTGAGCTGGTCTCCAAACCTGGATGAACTGACGATGACATTTGGTCTTGATACTCAGACGGTTCACACCGTTCTGAAGAGACCAGGCCTGGTACTGATGATGGGGCAATCATCCGCAAACCGGTCTATCGGTTGGTCGGATCGACCAAACGAAATTAATTTCTACTTTTCGTAGTGGGAAATAACTTGCGACGAATCTTCCAAGTCGAAGACGTTCCACGTTCCAAGATAAAATTCATTATCACCTTCAAGGAAAAGCTACAAATTTTTTATGATGGTGATACAATTTAAAAATTATTATGAAAGGTCTCAAACTTACTGTTAGTGAGGTTGGCTGTGTCGAGAAAAATGTTACATTTGAACAATTGAAGCATGTCAATACAATAAACAATTAACTGCATTAAGAGATGTTGACTCCTCACTGAATACAAAGAATATTGAATTGAAATTTACTAAAAATCGTTATTCATTTTGAAATTATGAATTACCCGTGAAAGCCATGTAGTTGAAGAACAAAGAGAGAGAGACAAAAAACATTTGACAATGACAGCTGTCATGTAATTCAGTTTGAAACAACTCATTCACAACACTCTCATTAGTCTCAAGGAAAACAAGTGAAGAGGTGTTGTTAAATGAAAGTAAAACCCTGCCATGAGGAGTTTGGAAATTTGTTCAAAAAACGAAAATATTGAAAATGTTATTAAAATATATTAATGAAAAACCAGAATTATTTTTGGTTCGGAAATCATGCAGATTTTTGTCAATATCTAATAGAAAGGCATAGATTTCTCTGAGGTGATCAATGTTTGATCTTTTATTAAGGCAATTATTTGATTATAGATGTATTTTTTTCTGTTGATAAAATTTTAGTTGACTTGTTGTCCATTTTATGACCTTCTTTGGAGACATGATTACTGAGAGCACATCTCTCAGGATGTAATCTACTATCACTCTTATGTGAACTGATTCTGTCTTCGAGTACCTAATCTTGACGTTTGGCCAATATATTCCGTATCACAATTTAAACATGGAATGCAATAGATGAATTGAGATTGAAAGTTATTGAGAGTTTTATCTTTATGTTTTGAAAATAATTTAATAATGGTGAATATGGTTCTGAAAGCTATTTTTACATTCAAATCTTTGAAAATTCTGCATAACTTAGGTGTCATATCACTAATGTATGGTAAAGAAGAGGAAAGTATAGGAACTGGAGGCGGATCAGCCAATTGTGACATTATCAGACTGTAAAGGATTTATATCCAACTGGTTGTTATTGTTGATTTGAACGTTAATGGTTGACGTTGTAAATGAAAATTTCTCATGTAGAAAATCTGGGTAAGAGTTATTAATAAATAATTGGAAAAGTTTATCTGAATTTTTGTTATAAAAAGAAGGATCGGAAATCTGCAGAATGCGGTTCTTCATTTGTTTGACCAAATTGATTTTCGCTGACTGCTTATGGTATGACCAATAGTTCAAGAACCTACCAGAACTGATAGGCTTGCGATACCAATCTATGAGTA